TTTCCCACTTTCCTCACAGCTCTCAAGAGAACCCTTTTTCTTGTTTTGTGACGCGATCTTGTGATTTATATAAGTTGTATTTTTCCCAGAAATCCCATTTTTCAAACTGTTATCCTTGTTCCTATCTGAAAAGATTGCCTTTGAACAACCTGGCGCTGCTTTCTGTTCTCTGTCTCTGGAATACCATCTCGCATTGCTCGGCTCAGTGGGACTTTTTCTGACATCTTCAAGGGTCAGACATTAACTCCTGTCCCTGCCGACCCAGGGAGAGGCAGTTGAAGCGTCTCAGTGTCTCTGGAGCAATACTTTCTGCTACAGCACAAACATGATGCTGCCATCTTGTCACTTTCATTTACGTTGCACTACCATAGAAGAAAGGAAGCCAAATTCCTCACTGCCTTGTAAATATTATATTAGACACTGCAGCCAGGCTTTGAAATGTTAATACTCCCTCTAATGCAGCCAGCTGACAGAGTGCTGGTTTGTTTCAGTTGTGACTCAGGCTGTCACAACAGGTCCTGCCAGAATTAAACCAGCTGAGAGTGGCCTGCAGGTTCCTGGCTAGTAAGGGTATGTGTCACGTTTTACGGCTACCATTTTGGGATCATTTGAATTGGTGTTTTAGAAAGGAGAAAGCTATATGGGGGACAACTTTGAGGGCTGGCAGCTGTTTTGGAGAGCAAGGGCAGAGCCCCATGCTCTGCTCATGGATGCCAGCCACCAGCTTGCCTGTCAGCCCAGAGCAGCATGTGTAAAATGGCCAACTTGCGGCAGGCTGTCAGCTGACATAGGCCTAGTTGCAGAGGCATAGGAGCATGCATGCTGCTCCTCAGCCTGCAGCAGGGGTGGATGGGCTCCTGCTATCTCTCACCGCTGCCAGGGAAGGAAGGAGGCTGGAGAGTGGTGGTTTTCCACCTCAGGCTGAAGGGATGTGTGGTCTCCTGGCGAAGGGGCACATGATCTCCTGATGGAGGGACACTTGGTCTCCTGATGAGGAGACAGGAGGAAGACAGCAGCAAATGGGATTAGTTCTGGCCCACCAAGAGGGGCTGGAGGGTGACGTGCCAGGGTGAGGGAAGGGGCATCTCTTGTAGCAGCAGCTTCAGCTGGGAGGAGAGACCCTGGCAATGACTGTCCCTCTACCTTCTCTTTTGCCACCTCTTCTTGGGGAAAAGGTGTTTTTTCTCCTGGCCTTTTGTTCTCTGATGACTCCTTCATGCCGGCCTTTCATTTTAATGATAGCATAGCAGTGAAACTGAGTCACATCAAGGCCTGAAGCTTTCCAGTTTTAATCTGTAATGAAATGTAAAGAAACCTGGCAGGGTCTGACACATTCTCAGTCTCCTGAGAGAAAGACTTGGGAACTTAGTTGTGGGAATCAAGTGTTCAGACCAACCGTGCTTTCCAAAGCAATTTTTGATTAATCTTTTTTTTTTCCTCTTTAATTTCCCATAGAAATTGGGAAGATTGACCAAGATATATATAAATACAACACCCCAGGATTCACTGGCTGCCTATCGCGAGTACAGTTCAACCAGATTGCACCACTCAAAGCAGCTCTGAGACCTACGAACGCCTCCTCTCACGTCCACATCCAGGGAGAACTGGTGGAATCCAATTGCGGAGCATCTCCACTTACCATCCCACCGATGTCGGCCGCTACCGACCCGTGGCATTTAGACTCAGGTAAGCTGGGGCTCATGCAACATTAGCTCAGTGGAGCAGTTTGGAGAAGAAGTACATACACCTTCCTCTGTAAGAAAAACCAAAACTGAGTAGGTGTGATTGACAGGTGACTGTAGGACTATAATCACGGTAAGAAGTGCAAAGCTGGGATGACAGAGATTTGCCACCACTTAAATGCAGTTACAGGGTGTTTTCTTTGATTTTTTTTTAAATATTCCACTTTATTTTTCTTTTCCATAAGTCTTGCACTGTTTGAATGGTGAGTTTTGACCTAGCTGCTGTGATAGCACTTTCTCTGTAGTATTGGGTAGGTACTCAGCAAAAGGTTGCAAGTACAGATAAATAAGGCACAGTAACCTTTCTTATCCTGTGTTCCCAGTAAGTGAGTATGTTGTAGTCAGCTTCATACAAAAAAAGTAAGTCTAATTTTAGGCATAGATATATTTATATGATTTGTTTTCTGAAATGTCTGCTTTCCTTAGGCCATGTTTAATGGGAAATCTCATTAGTCATGATTGCATTCACCTCATGCTGAAAATGCTGGAAAGCCAAAACATTTTGCTGATCCCAGCAAATCCATCCTGCTGTGTGACTGACAGTCTTTGAGAGTATGCGTTGTGCCTAAATTTACAGGGTTTTTTTATCTTTTGCTTCTTGGGTGTTGGATAAATACTTTAACCAAAACTGTTCCCTTTAGATTTACAGGGTCAGGTGTATGTTGACCCCTCTCTTCTAGTTTGTTCTCATTCTGATTTAATTTCTAGTGGTGTAAATTAGAACCTGTCCTGACAAAGTTGATGAGTTTATAGTGGTATAAAACTAAAATGTTAGAGGAAAAACTGTTTCCATAATGATTTTGTTACCAATTAGTCTTTGCCTGTTGTGTTTGGGCATGCATCTATCTGCCAGTTTTTATATGAGAGGGGACAGGTATGTATGTCTATATTCAAAGTATTTGCCAAGGTCATATCTTTTGGTTTTGGATTATTTTACTAGCAATCTCAAACAACTTGCAGCATTTCCTTTCAGCTCTTCTTCAGTAAAGAAACAGAACAGAGGTCTGTAAGAACAGGCAGATATTCTAGGGCTGAGGTTCCCAAACATCCATACATCTTGGAAACTTTTGCTGAGTTGATTCAGCTTTGTTGACCTGGCAGATTACAAATGTATACAATTTGTTGTGGATTAATTGTAGTACTCAGTCATGGAGCCATCATGAAGAATATGAGGGAACACTCAGTGTGCAATTAGGTTGATTCAATCTGTCTGTTACTATCTGCTAAGTAAAAAATTCTCATGGTAATAGCTGGACTTGCCTGTTTCAGTCACGGGCAGCCAGAGCATGAGTGGTCCACCTTTATTTTGGTGATGAGGAGCTTTAGTAGGACTGGGAGCTAGGGACATCTCCTCTTGTCCTCTCCAGTGCTCCACAGAAGTAGAGGGAAAAAGATCATATTGCTTTAAAGACTTCTAGTGAGGGACTGCTGTATACTGAAGGGAGCAGCAATGTCAGGTACAAAGAGATTTCACAGCAAATAAGTAGCATTTTGCTGGGCCAGGAGTGAAAGAACATGCAGGTATGGATGTGTGATTCCTGACTTACACTCTGGTGACATTTCCATGATACAAAGAGGAGGTATCGCAGCAACTCATTCATCAGTATCAGGTAAGAACAACACAGTCTCTGTGAAAGCGTCTCTGGTAGTCTGACACAGCTATCTCTGAGTCTGAGGAAAAATGTATACTGTAGACTGTGTAACCTCACACACAGATGATTTTGATGACTGGTAAATGAAAATGTGTTAAGCATCACTTTTCATTAGCTAATTGGTAGTTTGCACTGAGGATTTTTTTATATTTCCCAAACCCTACTAGAAGACTTTCTGGCACAAATTGTGTTGAAGGAGAAAGTAGAAGAATCAGAGGTATAAGTAATGGTTCCCATTGGATTCCGAGCTGCAATAGTCTCAGTATTCTCAAGGTAAATTTACTCCTTCACTAAACCAGCTGCAGGGTTGAAGACAAAAAGCTCTTTTTAAATTCACAGAAACGTTTGTAGTGGTGCTAAAGCAAAAGACGGATGACTCTGCCATGAAGAAATGGTTGCAAAGAACATAGCTTTGAAAGCAGCAGTTACTAGGTACAGGGTTTCATATTTCATACACGTTTTTATCTGTAGTTTTTATTGTTATGTCACCTATTTAATTTTAAGTAGGTCTTAACAAAACATGAAAGTTGAGGACAAGTGGTTTGTAGTGAAAAGAGAAAGTTTTGTGGCAAGTATCATATGGTTTAAATCTCATTCAGTGACATACTCTGCACTCATCCTGATTTATACTTTGAGTTAAGTGTAGATTTATAGCTTTGCTTCACAACTACTGTGGAGTTGAACTTTGAGAATTGAAGAATGTCATAGGAAGAGATCAAAGTGTCCAAATAGGACAGATACACCAGAAGGCAAATTTAACGATCCTTTCACCTCTAAACTGCAGTGCTGGATCAGTCCTTACGGACAATTACTAGATGTTAAGCAGGTTTTGCCTGACAAGTGACCTACATTAAATGTTTTCCTTAAACTCTTCTATGTAGGTACTGCGTGGTGGACACCTCCTGCTAGCTGCAAATTATTTTTGATGCCCTAACAGAGAGTATAAAAGGAAAATCATAAAGACATACATCAGTGACTTGCAGTGGACCCTTAGAGACAGGTTCAGGGATTTACCAATAGGAAAACTTGTTGATTTGCTCCCCAGACAAATGGACCATATAGCTTCTTGGTTCATTGTCTTGCACTTTCTAGTAGCCTTGAATTCACATATATTTCATATTTACAATATTAGTTCTTTCTAAATTTCTTTGTCATTGTGAAAATGCCACTGCCCTCCCTCCCCAGCCCTGGCTGGCATTTTGCCATGCTGCTGGGATGTTATATTAAACCATTATCTTTGTTCAGCTTGTGAGTATTTTTACAATGCATCTTTTCCCGTTGCTATGGCAATCTTGGTGGTGATGAAACGCAGGAATTCAACAAATCATTCTTTTCTGGAATGTGACTTTCTGGTGATTTTAAAAAAAAGTCAATAATCAAACCCAAACAGATCATCAATATAGTTCCCTTCCAGTATTTTCCTCCCATCTGTATTATCTCAGTTCATGTCAGACAATCCAATTTGCCTTGGTTACATCAAAAGAAGAGTAGAAAAGAGGCAGAAAGAGTCCGTTCTATGACGATATTATTTTAAAATGACATATCCTACCTTTACATGTTTTCTAAACCCAGAGAATTATCCATCTGGCATACATTTTGAAACAGAAGTTATAATTGCATTCCTTTAACTATGTTAGTGTGCATTTTAATATCTACTACTGTAGCATATGTAAAAAAATGCTAATCACTAAGGGTTTTTTTAATATCTCAGTTCAAATCAGCAACGATGTATGCCACTGGTAACTGATACCTTGCTCATTGTAGAGAAGCAAACAAAAGCCCAAAGAGATTATTATTTTTGTAGTAAATAAACTGCCACACCTAAAATGCCTTGTACTTAAAATCAGAAGATGCATATGATTGTGATCTGTTGTTCAGTTTGTGTTTGTCTCTAAGATAAAGGCTCTGCAGTTTCCTAATGAAGTTTCGCTTACAAAGTTTTCTTATTTATACAAAAAAAGATAAAAGAAACCTATTACGTGTATGTACCTCTTAATTTTAGATAAAATGTGCTCCAACTTGCCAAACTACCTGATCCTGAGTTCAGTAAGAGATGCCAGAAGAGGCAAGGTTCATACAAAAGTTGACAAGCTGTGCTTTAGCACCTCTAAACTGCCAGAGCACTATGTAGCTGCAAGATGCATTTATTCAGAGTATGAGCAGAATGGCATATAGAGTATTTAATGCAGGATTTAGTTAAACCCATATTAGCTTCAACATATTAAGAATTAAATGGAGCAGGATTAAATGCTACATCTGCAATGTTCTTTCTAGCGGTATGGCTTTTTTGTAACTTTACATATTTAAACCCTAAAAGCTCTTTATTTTTTTAGAAGGTGAAAAGCCTTGCCTTGTAAGAATCAACAGCTTACTTTGAAACCTATACTGAGAGTGTCTGGCAAAACCATTGTATGAAGAATGCAGCAGAGTCATCGAGATTAAAACAGCTGCCTGCAGGATTAACTCCCTTTTTTTTACAAATTCATCTCTCTTCCTTTAACAAGTCATGGCAGGAGAGTGAGAGGGCTGAACACTGGCCATATAATCCATGCTCACCTAATTGGCCAAGTAATTATCTTTGTCAAGCAACAGACAGCAGTCAATTTGTGGACTAAGAGAAGATGTCACTCGTGCGTTACTGGTGCCAGTGCTGAAGGTTGCTTTACCAATTCAGGCGCCACCAATTGGGTTGCCATCCCACCCTCTGGCCACTGGTACCCACATCTCAGGGGGCAGAGCAGCAGCATCTGAGGAGAAGCTGAGTCAGATGTGCACTGGAGATGGGCTATGGAGATGGGAAATAGCTCTTGCTCTTGTCAAAGGCTTGTTATGAACAGCGCAGTGGGAAGGAAGGATTAAAGGCATTGCTTGCTGGAAAGCAGCGACTCAGCCCTCAGAATAATCTTAGGTTACAAACACATGAACAAAAGGGTTTTCTCCTGGCCACAGACATTGAAGGAGTTCTGTATTCATCAGTTAATCCAACAGCAGGGGGATTAAAATCAATGGTAACGTGACACAGCGCTCATTCTTTCCTCTAAGGATCAGCAGGGGAGCAGGGTCACTTCTCTGGGCTTTCTGCAAGTGGAGAATCAGGCAGGAGGGATGGAAGAGGTGCATCACTTTTGTTCATGATGCAGCCTTATGCATCTAAATTTGATCTCCTAGGTGTTAGCAAAATTAGAAATAGATGTGAAGGCAGTTGCTAGAATAAAATGACACTCCTCCTTTTTCAAGCATAGCAAGCAGGATTAGCTACCTGTACTGCAATCAGAGAATGATGCCAGATACT